AACGTATGTCCTCTAGTTTTGGACTCCCCAAACTCTGGGAAAAGACCTTGTCTATTCACCCTATCCATGCCCCTCATGATTTTATAAACCTCTGTAAGGTCACCTCTTAGCCTCTGATGCTCCAGGGAAAATAGCCTCTGCCTATTCAGTCTCTCCCTATAGCTTAAATTCTCCAACCCTGGCAACATTGTTGTAAATTTTTTTTGAACCCTTTCAAATTTCACAACAACCTTCCTATAGCATGAACAGAACTGCACACAGAATTCCAAAAATGGACTATTCAATGTCCTGTACAGCCACAATGTGACCTCCCAACTCCAATACTCAATGCACTGACCAATAAAGGCAAGCGTACCAAATTCCAACTTCACTATTCTATCTACCTGTGACTCCACGATCAATGAATTATGAACCTGCACTTCAAGGTCTCTGTGTTCAGCAACACTCTCCAGGACCTTAGTATGAAATGTATAAATCCTGCCCTGATTTGTCTTTCCAAAATGCATTAACTTTCATTTATCTAAATTAAATTAAACTTCATCTGCCACTCCTCGGCCCATTAGCCCATCTGATCAAGATCCCATTGTACTCTGAGGTTCTTATTTCTTCATTCACAGGATGAGGGTGTCGCCCCTAGGGCAGCATTTATTGCCCATCCCTAATTGCCCAGAGGGCAGTTTAGAGTCAACCACATTGCTGTGGGTCTGGAGTCACATGTAGGCCAGACCAGGTAAGGATGGCAGTTTCCTTCCCCAAAGGACATTAGTGAATCAAATGGGTTTTTTCCGACAATTGGCAATGGATTCATGAACATCATTAGACTCTTAATTTCAGATTTTTAAAAAAATTTAATTCAAATTTCACCAACTGCTGTGGCAGGATTCGAACCTAGCTTTCCAAAACATTATTTGGGTCTCTTTATTAACAGTCCAGTGATAATACCACTAGGCCATTGCCTCCCCAGTAATCTCCTTTGCTGTACTACCCCACCAACCTCCGGATCCAACGCATCATCCTCCGACACTTAAGCCATCTGCAATCCGACCCCACCACCAAAGACATTTTTCCCTCCCCACCCTTATCTGCTTTCTGGAGGGACCACTCTCTCCATGACTCCCTTGTCTGCTCCACACTCCCCTCCAGCCCCACCACACCCGGCACTTTTCCCTGCAATCGCAGGAAGTCCTACACCTGCCCCTACACCTCCTCCCTCACCCCTATCCCAGGCCCCAAGAAGACTTTCCACATCAAGCAGATGTTCACCTGCACATCTGCCAATGTGGTATACTGCATCCGCTGTTCCCGTTGTGGCCTCCTCTACATTGGGGAAATCAAGTGGAGGCTTGGGGACTGCTTTGCAGAACACCTACGCTGGGTTCGCATTAAACAACTGCACCTTCCAGTCGCGAACCATTTCAACTCCCCCTCCCATTCCTCAGATGACATGTCCATCCTGGGCCTCCTGCAGTGCCACAACGATGCCACCTGAAGGTTGCAGGAACAGCAACTCATATTCCACTTGGGAACCCTGCAGCCCAATGGTATCAATGTGGACTTCACAAGCTTCAAAATCTCCCCTCCCCCTACCGCACCCCAAAACCAGCCCAGCTCGTCCCTGCCTCCCTAACCTGTTCTTCCTCCCACCTATCCCCTCCTCCCACCTCAAGCCCCACCCCCATCTCCTACCCACTAACCTCATCCTGTCCGTCCTCCCTGGACTGACCTATCTCCTCCCTACTTCCCCACCGACACTCACCTCTACTGGCTCCATCCCCACCTCTTTGACCTGTCTGTCTCCTCTCCACCTATCTTCTCCTCTATCCATCATCTATCCGCCTCCCCCCATTTATTTCAGAACCCCCTTCCCTTCCCCCATTTCTGAAGAAGGGTCTAGGCCCGAAACGTCAGCCTTCCTGCTCCTCTGATGCTGCTTGTCCTGCTGTGTTCATCCAGCTCTACACCTTGTTATCTTATCTTTCAACAGTATTCAGGACCTAGCATCTTTTCAGTTAGTCTTAAACCTTTGGAGGTTCTGATGAACTCCTCATCTAGAACTCGCATTATGTTAGTGCACGTTTGGCATTTTTCATGGCTGCTTCAATATGTTTTGCTAGTCCTTCCATCCCATTTATGATGTGGAGTTGCCGGTGTTAGACTGGGGTGGAAAAAGTCAGGAGTCGCACGACACCAGGTTTATAGCCCAACAGGTTTATTTGAAATCACAAGCTTTCGTAGCACTGCTCCTTAGTCAGGTGGAGTGAGAGAGAAGCACACAGACACAGAACTTGTCGGCAGAGAGATCAAAAGATCCCTATCTCTACTCCAGAATGGAACCCATTTGCAACCCAGGGCCTCCATACACATGGGTTGTGATTGTGTCCCTGCAGTCCCAGCAATGTAAATATAGGCTGAGAGTTTTGAGTCAGGTTGCAAATATGCTTGGACGTGCTCTTTCTCCTAAGATGATGAGAAACCTGATTACATACTACATTACTGCATGGCATCTGCAAATGTTATTGTAAACATTGGTTTCACTGTACTTGAGTAATTTTGCTCATTAAATTGGAATATCACTTCCTTGGTTCTGCCATCACAGTTGATTGTGAGCACATTCTCAATTACACTCGAGTAAAAGTTGATTTTCTGCAAAAGTTAACCTTCCCCTGACTGTTGGCTAAAAGGTATCTGACTCTTTTACACTTGCCATCCATTGGATGCTGAAATAAAACTTGCCTTGTGCAAACCTACGCATTTGAAAATTGCTATTCAGCTCCTTCTGATTGTGCACGATGATAAAAGTTACTACTTTGGCACCACATGTGCCAGTCGAGGGGGTAGGGTTAGTGAGCCTTCGACCTGACAACTCTGATCAGCTGATGTACTGCTGTAAACCGTCGGGTAGTGAGAGGGTGGATTTCAATTGCTCGATGATATTCCTTGCCTATATGTCAACCTCTTACTTTATAGTTTAAAAATTTAATCTCAGAAATCCAACTTGACTATTTTGTACGCGTGTAGAACCTTTTCGTGACTGCAGAGTTCCCCACTGTAGTGCTGTTGCTGTCATAATTTGGGTAAATCTTACGCATAGTAATGTTCTACAAACAGCAATGACAAAAATGACCATTTCATCAGATCTGTTTATCCTGTTGTTTTGTTCAGGACACCAAGGGTTTGCGAAGGAACGTGGCTTGGGTCTGGCATTTTCTGACTTAAGGGAAGGAAAGAAGTGAAAAAGTCAAGAAGACCAAATCATAAGGATAGACTACTGGGCCTCTCTGACCTGTTCCACCATTCCATTAGATCACTGTTGATGTGTATCTCAACCCTATTTTGTTACTTATCATTGAATATGTTTGCTGAACAAAAATTAACCTGTTTCGGGATCTTGGTAGTATAATGGTCTTTTATGGAAATGTTAAGATTTTATTCCCGACTGTGGAAGCATGCAATGATTTGGAGGAGAAATCTGTTTGCAGGAACCCCTTTATAGCAGTGATGCACAGGATCGCATCAGTTCCCCAGACTAGAGTGTGTCTAGGGTCATAACTCACACGATGTCTACTGTTGATATCATTGGAGAAGGCAGTGTGGATAGCAGTCAGGGATACTGCCTGCCCTTGGGATTTTTCTACACAAATAAACACAGGGCTGTCATACAGGAGGCATGGTGGCTCAGTGGTTAGCAATGCTGTTTCACAGTGCCAGGGGCCCAGGTTCAATTCCAGCCTTGGACAATTGTCTGTGTAGAGTTTGCACATTCTCCCCGTATCTGTGTTGGTTTCCTCCTATGCAGGTTAAGTGGATAGGCCTTACTAAATTGCCCATATTGTTCTGGTATGTACAGGCTAGGTGGGTCAGCCGTGGGAAATACAGGGATAGTGGTGAGGGTGTCTCTGGGTGAGATCTGTTTGGAGGGGCAGTGTGAATCTTGTTGTACCAAATGGCTTGTTTCCACACTGTCAGGGTTCTATTTTGATTAACAACTGAATACCGGGTCCTGATACAATTCCTGCTAACTATAACTGGTAAAGATGAATTTTTTCCCAGTTGTTTGGTTGTTTTAATGTTTCACAGATCTGTGAAATGTGTTTTAATTTATCTTTTATCTGTTTCCAGAGTTCAGTGCACATTTCTGGTCTTCATTGCAAAGAAATTGTTATAGCACCTTAGGAGGTCATTTGGCCCATCATGTCTGCATTGGTTTTCTGTGCAAGCAATTCACTTGGTGTCATTTTCATGCCTTTACCCCTCAAACCTGCACGTTCATCTTTTCCAAGTAGCACACTCATTCCCCTTTTAATGTGTCTGTTGAACTTGCCTCCACTACATTGTTGGGCAGTATATTCCAGGTCCTAACTACGCACTGTGTGAAAATAATTTTTCTCCTGTCTCCTTTGCTTCCTTTCCCAAATATATTAAATCTGTGCCCTCTTGCTGTTGATCCTTTGATGGGAAGGACGTTTTTCCATTTCACTTTTGTCCAGAGCCATCATGATTTAACTATCTCAATCAAATCTCCTGCTTTCTTCAAGTATATAAACATATGCTAATCACTAATAAAATGAATATGAAATTCAGGAGAAATATCTTTACCCAGAGAGTGGTGAGTGTGTGAAACTCCGTACCATAGGGAGTAGGTGAGGCATAAACGCATTTTAAGGGGAATCTGGATAAACACATGGATATCAGCGTTTTGCTGATAAGCTGAGATGAGATCTACTGGACTGAATGGTCTGGCCATGTGCAATAAATTTTATGTAATTGTATGTTTTCTTGAGCTTAGATTAATTTGAGATAAAACTATATTCCTTTAACTTAAATAATAAAAAATTCAGTACTTTGTTTCATCACGGAAAAGATTTCCTGGTCATTGCTTGTGACTTCACTATTCAGATTTTATGATGTTTTTAGATGCTATAAACCATAGGGAAAGGCACTAAGGAATTATTTACAGGACAGTAAATCTGAAAATCCTTATTTTGTGTTTCATACATCAGTGGTAACGGGATATCATGGATGACAGCAGCGCCATCAGAGAGGTGCCAATGAATGATGTATCCATTACGTTGGAACAGACTCCTCCAGAGCCAGCCACACATTTGAAATCTACAGGATCGACAGTCAGCTTCTACAACATTTACTACAGGGTGAAAGTCAACAGTGGTTTACCATGCTGCCGTAAAATCAATGTGAAGGAAATCCTAGATGGAGTCAAGTATGTATTTACAATCTTCAGTTTGGGTGGAATGGAGCAGTAGTGATGATTTCAGTGTTTAATTACAACTTGCCAGAATGCAGTTTATCATGAAGATGTACCAAGTGTACAAAAGGGAATATAGCATCATCACTTTAAAAAGTGGAGAGGTGCTGGCTGAAAATATGCGTGGAAATGCAAGGCCTCTGTCTCAGGGGAGTGCGGAAAGAAGGTGAGAGAAGGGGAAGCATCAGAACATATCTAAGGCGGCACGGTGGCTCAGTGGTTAGCACTGGTGCCTGACAGCGCCAGAGACCTGGGTTCAGTTCTACCCTCGGGTGACTCTGTGTGGAGTTTGCACATTCTCCCCGTGTATGTGTGGGTTTCCTCTGGGTGCTCCGGTTTCCTCCCACAGTCCAAAGATGTGCAGGTTAGGGTGGATTGGCCATGCTAAATTGTCCATAGTGTTCTGGGATGTGTCTGTTAGGTGGATTAGCCATGGGAACTGCAGGGATAGGGTTGGGGGTGAAAATGGGTGGCATGCTCTTTGGAGAGTCAGTGTGTACTTCCATACTGTAGGGATTCTAATGATTAATGCTGGTGACTCGGAGCACATCTATAGCAAGTGTTGTTGCTTGAGGAACTCCAGCTCAGAGTTGATGAGCTGGGGACTGAGCTTTGAATGCTTGCAGTAAATCAGGAAGGAGGAGTGTTGCCTGGACGCTGTGTTTCTGGAAGCCTTTACATTTATAATCTCAAATTTGGTCAGTGGTTAGGGACAAGAGGGTGTGACTCCAAGGGGGCAGACAGAGGGATCCAGGAGGTAGTGCTGAAGGAACCTTAGCCCTTGAGTTTGTTGAACAATTTGAGATTCTTGCTCTCTGTGTGGATGAGAGTGGAGGTTGTGGGGAGGTTGACCAAACTGACCATAGCACTATTCACTGGGGGGGCAAGAGGGAGCTAAAAGAAATGTAGTTGGACAAATGTATTTGGAATATTATGAACAGTTGTTATGAGCCTTGTATCAATGGAAGGATGTGCTGGCTTTGGAGGGGGATCCTGAGGATGAAGAGTGGTTGAGGACTTTGGGTCTGTATTTGATAGAGTTTAGAAGGACGAGGGGGATCTGATTGAAACTGACATACTGAGAGGCCTGGATAAAGTGGACGTGGAGAAGATGTTTTCCCTAGCAGGAGAGACTAGGACCCAAAAACATAGCCTCAGAGTGAAGGGATGATCCTTTAAAACTGAGATGAGGAGGAATTTTTTTCAGCCAGAGGGTGGTAAATTTGTGGAACTCATTACCACTCATTTAAGACAGATATAGATAGATTCTTGATTAGTAATGGGATCAAGGCAGGAGAATGTTGTTCAGAAACATATCAGCCATGATTGAATGGTAGAGCAGACTCGATGGGTTGACTGCCCTAATTCTGCTCCGATATTTTATGGTCTTATTGAATAAGCTGCTTTTAAGAGACCATAATTGTTCATGTCAACTGATCCCAATACATTGTCATTTGCTTGCTGTCCTGGAGTCCAGTTTTACAGGTTTTTCTCTCCCTTCACTATTAATTTAAACAGTAAACACAAAAAAAACCCAGAATGTTCATTCCATCTGTGCATAATATTAAGCAGGAGCAGTTAAGAATTACCCCTGTGAAATGTGGTGCCTCTTTCTGTGTTTGTTTCCCTCGTGTTTCTACATGCTGTTTCCCCAGCTGTTGCAACTTCACATGCTGCTGGGTTTCAACTGTGGCTACTTCAGGATCCTGTGCTTGGTGAACTGTAGCAACTTTGGGCTCTGAAGGCCTGGTTGGACTCAGCAGCTTCTTGGTCTGGACTGGGCCTGTCTGGCCTGGTTGGTCGTATCACACTGAGGGTACTAGCTTGAAGGGGAAGCAAGCATGTTATTGTCCTGATTGAAGACAGCAGGCACCTTTTCCCTGGAGCAAAAGTCACTGTCCTGGTTCTGTGCCTCACACTCCCATGGCACCACGTGTAAACTAGGTTCAGGAGTGATGTATTCTCTGCTAGTCCCTGTCAACACTGGCCCTCAAAGGCAACATGGCAGTCATCTCAGCTTCCTTGGTGCAGGGTGAATTCATATTTCTGAATTGTGATTTTTTTTTTTTTTTTTTTTTTTTTTTTTTTGCAGCTATCCTGTGCTTCACTTTTTTTACTCTACGTGCTCCTTTAGTCATACTATTTTCTTGGCTTTCTGAAGAAGGGTCCTGACCCAAAACATCAGCTTTCCTGCTCCTCTGATGCTGCCTGGCCTGCTGTGTTCCTCCAGCTCCACACTGTGTTCCCTCTGATGCTGCCTGACCTGCTGTGTTCATCCAGCTCCACACTGTGTTCACTCTGATGCTGCCTGGCCTGCTGTGTTCCTCCAGCTCCACACTGTGTTATCTCTGATGCTGCCTGGCCTGCTGTGTTCCTCCAGCTCCACACTGTGTTATCTTCTTTCTTGACTTGTTCTTTTATAGTCTCTGTTCATAATATACTTCAAACTTTATTTGTTCCGTTTGACTTATGTAGCTGTTAAACTGTGATTCTTAAATTACTGGTATACAAACTCTCTTCAAGCTATATTTTTCCTTTTTCTGCCCTTTATTCCTAATTTATTCAAAATGGCACTGTCTCATGGTGACAAATGAAAGCTTTTTACTGTATTTTATCATATTTTTTTTTAATAGAATCCCCACAGTGTGGAAACAGGCTATTTGGCCCAACAAGTCTGCACAAATCCTCCAAAGAGCATCTCCAGGCCCATCTCCCTAACCTACCCCTGTAATCCCACATTTCCTACGGCTAACCTACACATCCCTGAACACTATGGGTAATTTAGCATGGCCAATCCAACTAACTCCCACATCATTGGACTGTGGGAGGAAACCGGAGCATCTGGTGGAAACCCACGCAGACACTGGGAGAATGTGCAAACTCCACACAGACAGTCACCCGAGGGTGGAATCGAACCCGGGTCCCTGGTGCTATGAGGCAAGCAGTACCATCCTTGAATAAAGCAGATAGAAGATGGCAATGTTCCCTCAGCCCTTCCTCTAAGAAAAAGTTACCTAGCAAATCAAAGAAAACCTCCTAAATCTGATGGAGAAAAACGAGAGCAAAGAACTGCTGTAAGTTCTCCTCAGAAGGAGTTGGGAAAGAGAACTCCAAGGGAGAAAACAAACCAGAAATAAAATCCAAAGCGAAAGATGAAGTTTTAGAAGATGCTGTCACAGATATTGAGAGTATTCTTAATGTAAAATACATGTGACAATAAAATCAGATCAAACAATAACACCAGCTTAGATTAATGTGATATCTTTAATACAGTGAAACATTGCAAAATGCTTCATGGGAAAGATGTTATCAAAGTTTGATAGGAGTCACGCAAAGATATTGGGGTCAAAAGTTAGCAATGAAAATTGAGATTGGTCAAGTCCAGAATTGAAGAATGCTGAAATCTCTGCAGGTTATGGCCAGCGGAGGCTATAGAGGTAGAACAGAGTGAGATTGGGGAAGGATTAACAAATAAACATGACTTTCAAAACCATTGTCATTGAGCCAACGTTATTTAGTGTGTACGGAGATGATAGAGGAATGGAATTTGGTGTATGTGGGATACAAACAGCAGAGTATTAGATGAACTTGTTTGTCTATAATTGCATCAGAATTTTTTTATGCCTGATTACTGAGCAGAATTTTATTGAGAGTTAATAATTAAGTATAACTTGAACTTTTATGAATGAATCTTTAAATGACGAGATGCTAATAAATTAATGCACACAGGTATTTTTCACTAAAATTGTGCTGTACTTTTATTCTTTTTTAAAAGTCTCAGTTCTGGTATATTTTCAATTAATTGATTTCCCTCTATTCTATTTTCTATCTTGGAATTGTTCTCTTTGGAGAAAAGAAAGCTGAGAAGAGATCTGATTGAAGTGTTGAAAATCATGAGCAGTGTGGACAGAGTAAATAGAGTGAAAATGTTTTCACTCATGAAGGAATTGGAAACGATTGGGGACAGATTTAAAGAAATTAGTAAACGAGGTAGCAGTGATATGAGAAACATCGAAACTAGGAGCAGGGATAGGTCATTCGGCCCTTTAAATATGCTGCATCATTCAATTTGATCATGGCTGATCCTCTGTCTCAATGCTATGTTCCTGCTTTCTCCCCATATGCCTTGATGCCTTTAGGTTTTAGCTATCTCTTTCTTGATTATATTCAATGACTTGGCCTCACTGCCTTTTGTTGCAGAGAATTTGAATGGTTCACTACACTTTAAGTGAAAAAATGTTTCCTCGTCTCAGTCCGAAGTGGTCTATCTTGCACCCTGAGACTGTGTCCCTGGTTCTAGACTCCCCAGTCAGGGGAACATCCTCCCTGCGTCTAGTCTGTCCAGCCCTGTTATAACTTTACATGTTCAATCAGATCCCCTCATATCCTTCTAAACTCACTAATGAATGTCAGTCCAATCTAACCACTCTCTCCTCTGGGCTGTCCTGCCATCCCTGCTTAGACAACCACTATGGCAAGTATAACCTTTCTGAGGTAGGGAGACCAAAACTTACCCCTGTCTAAGCCATGGCTGCATGTTCGAGTTGAAACTGACATCTCTGAGGAGGAATTAAAACAGGGCCCTATCTTATTATCCCAAGCGGATGGAACAACAACATCCAAGGCTCAATTTTGAAGAAAAACAGGAGAGCACTCCCCAATCTCCATTTATCCTACAACCAACATCACAAAAATAATAACTACATATCCATCCTATCAAGTCCTCTAAGAATCTTGTATGTTTCAATAAGTTTGCCTCCCATCCTTCTAAATTCCAGTGAATACATGCCCAACCTACTCAATATCTCCTCATGAGGCAGTTCCTCCATACTTGGGTTCAGCCTCATGAACCTTCGCTGGACTGCCTCCAATGCCAGGAAATCTTTGCTCAGATAAGGGGCCCAGAACTATTCACCGTAAAACTGTGGTCTGACTAGTGCCCAATAGGGTTTTAGCAAAACCTCACTACTTTTATTCACCATTTCCTTTGACATAAAGGTCAAAATTCCATTTGCCTTCTCTTTTTACCCACTGAAGCTGGATGTTAGCTTTTCAGTGATTCATGCACAGAGTCCAAGATCTCTCTAAACTATAGCTTCCTGCAGTATTTCTCCATTTTAAATGTTATTCACCTCCCCTAGCCCTCCCCTCAAAGTGCCCTAACCTGACAATTTTCCGCATTATGTTCCATTTCCTAAATTTTTGCCCACTCGCTTAACCTGGTCAATATGCCTCTGCAGGCTCTTTGTGTCATCGTCACTACTTGCCTTTCTACCTAATTTGTGTCATCTGCAAATGTGCCTATTGCACATTCATTTTCCTCACCAAAGTCATTTAATATATATTGTAAATAATTGTGTCCCAAGTACGAACCACTGCGTCACCCTGAAAATGCCTCCCTTATCCCAATTCTGTCTTCTATTGGTTGGTCAACTGTTGAAGAAGAAGATGTCTCAATGCAGTGAGTGGTTAGGGTCTGGAATGCACATCTAAGAGTAAAATGGAAGCATATTAGTTTGAGGCATTCAAAATGGAATTAGATAGTTAATTGAAAAAGAATGATCAGGTTTCTGTGACAAAGCAGACAATTGGCACTGGGAGCGATGCTCATTTGGAGCCTAATGCAGACTCAGTGGGCCAAATGGCCTCCTGCACGGTACCAATTCTGTCTTTATTCGGTGTTGCATGGTACACCTGTGGGTTCCGTTGTATAACCTTCACAAGTACAAGTCATAAGCTACATGATTTATGTAAGGCATATTATTAGGCTGTTGTTTTTCTGAAAGTAAATCTTGACTAACGTTCACAATATTTACATGACCTGTGTTTCCTTTATGTTTTCCTCAGTGGTATCATGGGACCTGGAATGAACGCTATCCTAGGTCCTACAGGAAGTGGAAAGTCTTCGTGAGTATCTCAGTAATACAGAATTGTATTGTGTCTCCCACCCTAGCCTGTCTCACTGGTTACACCAGTGATTATGCTTCACAAAAGCTTCATCCCATCCCTCTTTATTTCAACCTTACTGCAGATCTTTCTGCTCCTTTCTCTCTTATTTGCTTCTCTTTGAAGGCATCGATGTTCTTCTCCTCCATGTCTTAATGTGGCAATCATATTCACTCAAACAGTGACAGTTTTAACTCCCAAAAACAAAATGCTGTCCAGGCTGTCATCGGTGAAACTTTCAAAACTGGAATTGATAGGCTTTTATTAGCTAAGAAATATTAAGGTTTCTGGAACGAAGGAGGATGGATGGAGTTAAGATACAAGAGAGTCATGATCTACTTGAATGGCTCGAAAGGCAGAATAAGTGCCTCATGCTCTTACGTTCCACGTTCTCACCAACGTGGAAATACAAAAAGATTCACCTGAATTCTGTGGTGAATTAATTAGCCCAAAGTTTAGAGAGTTGGTGGGAACGACATGAAACAGGAGCAATGTTTTTGGACGATTTCATCAAGGGACAGAAAGTAGATGAGAGATAGGAGGGAGCTGCAGAGAAGTCCCTGGAGACGCCAGAGGTAACAGTACATTAATGATCCGGCCTTGGGAGGTTATATTAATGAGGTTTTGAATTGTTGAGCTATCCTTTTGAAATGTCTTACTTTTATAGGTATAGGTATGGTAGAACTGTGGAGCCTGTATTAAATTTATACAGAATAGACGGAGTCTATTTGGTTCATTGTGTTTTCTCTGACTCTCAGAAAGAACTATCGATAATGTTATGATCTTTACATGGTCCTGTTGTTCCTAAATAAGATAGAGTGAGATTGTTGAGGAAGAAAATGGACACTAATTCATAGTTGAAGCAGACTGAGTATACAGACGTTTGATAATTTAGGACTAATACTTTCTCAAACAATCATTCATTGGAAGTGATATTTCCAATTACAATAGAAATCCAGTGCAACTGCATGAATAATAAAATTCCTATCTTCTATTTTTAGCTAGCAAAGTGAGGATTTAAATAAAGACTTATCTGTCTCAGAATCCCTGAGGCCCTAATGTTGGACTATATTAAACCAATTTTTAATATTTTTTTCACTATATTTTCACAGCTGCTACTTGGGTTCAGTGACAAGAACCCCTTTTTCAGTAGATCTCAGTTACTAGTTAGCACAGATTTTTTTTTAAAATCTGTATTTAAAACTGAACATAATCTGGTTTGAAGAGTTTGAAATGACTGTCACATAGCTTTGCAGGCTCTTCACATTTCCTGAAACTGAGCTTCCAACCCCATAGTCAATCAATTATAATATGTATTTCCATATTCATTGTTACCATTTATTGCAGAAACTTTTATTCACATTGTTGGCAACTCCAGAATCCACTGTTCCAATTCTCTCTTGGGTGACCTTCCACCCTCTATAAACATCAGGTCATGCACAGTTCTGCTGCCAATTTCCTGTAGTACCTCCGTTTTACATTTCTCAGCTCAAGTTAATTATATGAGCCTTGGCTTAGTGGATAACACCCATTCTGAGTCAGAAAGTTGTGGGTTCTAGTTTCATTCCAGATATTTGAACACAAATCCAGGCTGTTAGCACCAGTGCAATACTGAACAAATGCTGCACATTTGCAAGTGAGATGTGAAACTATGACTCGCTTTATTGTCTCAGATAAACATAGGATCTCATTGGCATTGTTTGAAGGACGGCCAAGAAGTCAGTCAATATTTAATTCTTAAAATATATTACCTGATGATTAACATATTGCTGCATGTTGGAGGTTGCTGTGTGCAGTTGGCTGGGGCGTTTCCTACTTTATAACAGTGGCTACACTTCAAAAGTACTTCATTTGG